ATGGGGAAAAACTGAGAGCTTTTCCTCTGTGGTCAGCACCAAGACAGGGATATCCACCATCACCATTGTTTTTTAACATAGTACCAGAAGTACTCACCTCAGCAACCAGACAACAAAAAGATATAAAAGGCATCCAAATCAGCAAGGAAGAAATCAAACTTTTGCTATTTGCAAATGACATGATACTCCATGTAGAAAACCCAAAAGACTCCACCAAAAATTTGCTGGAACTGATACACTAATTCAGTAAAGTCACAGTCTACAAAATTAACATAAAGAAATATGTTGTACTTCTATATGCTAATAATGAAGCAAAAGAAAGAGAAATCAAGGAATTGATCCCATTTAGAATTGCACCAAAACCCATAAGATAGCTAGGAATAAATGTAACTATAGAGAGACTATAGAACATTTATGAAAGAAATTGAAGAGGAATGGGAAAACATTCCATGCTCATGATTTGGAAGAACAAATAGTTAAAACTTCTATACCATCCAAAGTGATCTATACATTTAATACAATCTCTATCAAAATACCATCAGCACTTTTCACAGAGCTAGATCAAACAATGCTAAAATTTGTACGGAACCACAAAAGACCCTGAATAGCCAAAGCAATCTTGAAAAAGAAAAGCAGAGCTGCAGGCATCACAATTCTGGATTTCAAAGTATATTAGCAAAGCTCTAGTCATCAAGACAGAATGGTACTGGTACAGAAAAAGACACATAGATGAATGTAACAGAATAGAAAACCCAGAAGTGGACCCTCAATGCTATGGTCAAATAATCTTCAACAAATCAGGAAAGAATATTCTATCAAAAAAAAAGACAGTCTCTTCAACAAATGGTGTTGGGCAAACTGGATAGCAACATGCAACAGAAAGAGACTGGACCACTTTCTACACCATCCACAAAAATAAATTCAAAATTTGTGGAAGACTTAAATATGAGAAAACAAACTATCAAAATCCCAAAGGAGAACACAGGCAGCAACCTCTCTGACATTGGCTGTAGCAACTTTTTACTGGACACATCTCTGGAGGCAAGAAAAACAAAAGCAAAAATTAACTATTTGGACTTCATCAATATAAAAAAACTGTGCAGTGAAGGAAACATTAAACAAAACTAAAAGGCAACCTATGGAATGGGAGATGATATTTGCAAATGACATATATGATAAAAGGGTTAGTATCCAAAATGTATAAAGAATTTATTAAACTCAACAACCAAAAACCAAATAATCCAGTTAAGAAATGGTCAGAAGACATGAATAGACATTTTCCCGAAGAAGATATACAGATGGCTAACAAACACATGAAAAGATGCTCAACATCACTCATCACCAGGGAAATACAAATCAAAACCATGATGAGATATCATTTCACACCTGTCAGAATGGCTAAAATTAACAACACAGGAGGCAACAGATGTAGCTGAGGAAGTGGAGAAAGGGGAACCCTCTTACACCGTTGGTGGAAAACTGTGAGAGACTATAGAGAACAAACTGAAGGTTGATGAGGGGGTATAGGCTAGATGGGTGTTGGGTATTAAGGAGGGAACTTATTTGTAGTGAGCACTGGCTGTTATATATAAGTGATGAATCACTAACTTCTACTCCTGAAACCAATATTACAGTGTATGTTAACCAACTAGAATTTAAACAAAAACTTGAAACCTACAAAAGATAAAAAAAATAAAACAATTATTGGGATAAACATTTTAATAGTCCATTATTATCCTTTTATTATCTTGTAGGGTGTATATTTTGGTCTCTCTTTTATATGCCTGATATATATATATATATCATATATATATCTCATTTTCTTAATAGTACTTATTAGGGTTATATCAATTATATTCATCTTTTTCAAAGAACCTTTATTTTTTATTCCTTGATTTTTATGTTTATTTCCCAGTTTATTGCTTTTATTTATTTCCTTCCTTTCAGTTTCTTTCATTTAGATAAGATCACTGATTTTATGCATTTTTTAATTTTCTAATATATACACGGTTAAAAATTTATCTCTAGTCAATGAGTAACTGTATAATACAAGGGTTTTTGTTTGTTTCTAGCAACACAAGTTTTGATAAGTCTGATTTTTATCAACATTTCAGTTTTTCTAAATCATTTTCTAATTCGTGTGTGTGTGCGTGTGTGTGTGTCTGTGACCCTTGGGTGATTTAGAATTGCATTGGTTAGATTCAAAATATTTGTGAATTTTCAAGTTATATTTTAGTTGCTAATATCTAGTTTTATTCCATATTGGTAAAAGAACATAATCTGAATGATGTAAAATCTTGGAAATCTGTTAAGACTTCCATTATGGCCTAGTATATTGTCAATTTTGTAAATGGTCCACATGCATTTGAAAAGGATTTATTACATTCTGCCCTTATTAGATGCAGTGCTCTCTGTATATTAGTCAAATATTTTAACTGCATTGTTCAGACCTTCTATATTTATTTCATTTTTGCCCTCTCATCTTATCAGTTACTAAGAGAGTTATCTTAATACTGGAACTATTATTGTGGGTTTCTTAAATTCTCCTTTTAATTGTGTCCCTTTTGTTTTCCATATTTTGGCAATGTGTATTATTCCTACTAATTAAGCATTGCTATGTCTTCCTTATATATTGAGAATTTTTACCTTGTGAAATAAACCTTTGGAGCTAGTGATATCTTCCAAAGTGTCATGACATTTAGTGCATGAAATTATACTCCTACTCTGATGATCTTAAGTATTCTCAGATTGTCATAAATAAGGATTTTTCTATTTGTATATTTTATGGGGATATATTTCATATATATAACACCTGTCTAATGCACTGTTTCTTCTATTATAAGGAAAACATTTTGACTAGAATATATTTAATTTCTAATTCATCCAATGGAAATATATAATTAATTTTCCATTACTTTTATTATCAACAGTTGTAACAAGTAATCCATGTCAATAATTATCATAATTTTGAGTAAACAAGCTATACAGATTTCTAAGATTTGGTAGGATTCCAATTTTTTTATTAAAAAAATAGCAACTTTTGCAGAAGTATTAAGCATTTTCCAAAATATGACTCCAAAGAACATGTGTTAAGTTCCCAAATAAGTAAGAATTTATGTCCTCTCACCTGGGTGGCTCAGTCAATTAAGCATCTGCCAGTGGCTCAGGTCATGATCCCAGAATCCTGGGATCGAGTCCCACATCCAGGCCTTGCTCAGTGGGGAGCCTGCTTCCCTCTGCCTGCAGCTCCTCCTGCTTGTGCTCTCTCTCTCTCTTTCTCTGACAAATAAATGAATAAAATCTTAAGAAAAAAGAATTTATGTCCTCTCAAGAATTTACCAGTTTCAAAGGACAACTTATTTCTTTTCTCCTTGCCTTTACATAATTTCATCTTATTTATCAAAACTTTTCAAATCCTTATTTAAAGGAAACAGTCAACAAAACAAAGAGACAACCCACAGAATAGGAGAAGATATTTGCAAATGACACTACAGATAAAGGGCTGGTATCCAAGATTTATAAAGAACTTCTCAAACTCAACATCCAAAAAACAAATAATCAAGTCGAAAAATGGGCAGAAGACATCAAAAGACACTTCTCTGAAGAAGACATACAAATGGCTAATAAACACATGAAAAAATGTTCATCATCATTAGCCATCAGGGAAATTCAAATCAAAATCACATTGAGATACCACCTTAAACCAGTTAGAATGGCAAAAATGGACAAGGAAAGAAACAACAAATATTGGAGAGGTTGTGGAGAAAGGGGAACCCTCTTACACTGTTGGTGGGAATGCAAGTTGGTACAGCCACTTTGGAAAACAGTGTGGAGGTTCCTCAAAAATTTAAAAATAGGGCTACTGTATGACCCAGCAATTGCACTCCTGGGTATTTACCCCAAAGACACAGATGTAGTGAAAAGAACGGCCATATGCACCCCAATGTTCATAGCAGCAATGTCCGCAATAGCCAAACTGTGAAAGAGCTGAGATGCCCTTCAACAGACGAATGGATAAAGAAGGTGTGGTCCATATATACAGTGGAATGTTACTCAGCCATCAGAAAGGTTGAATACCCAACTTTTACATCAACATGGATGGGACTGGAGATTATGCTAAGTGAAATAAGCGAAGCAGAGAAAGTCAATTATCATATGGTTTCACTTATCTGTGGAACATAAGGAATAGCATGGAGGACATCAGGAGAAGGAAGGGAAAAATGAAGGGGGGGAAATCGGAGGGAGAGATGAACCATGAGAGACTATGGATGCTGAGAAACAAAGAGGGTTTTAGAGGGGAGGGGGAGGGGGGACTGGTTAGCCCAGTGATGGGTATTAAGGAAGGCACCTACTGCATGGAACACTGGATGTTATACGAAAACAATGGATCGTGGATCACCACATCAAAAACGAATGATGTATTGTATGGTGACTAACATAACATATTAAAATTTTAAAAAAATAAAAAACAAAAAATAGAAAAAAAAATCCTTATGCCTCATAATTTTTTAATTATGTTAAATTTTTATTTTTATTATTTTAATTTTTTATAATTGTGATTCCTGGGTTTTTTTCAGTAGAAATATTTGAGCATTTTGATTTTTAAATGTTTATTTGATTTTTTTTAACCAACCATGTGACAGGAGGTTTTGTGATTCCCTCTGTGTCATAGAAAATGACTGTTATTTTCTGAGTGTCTAGCTGAAGAAATCTCATTATAGTAAGGAGGAATCTGTGAAGTTATTTTAGGACCTCTTGATTTCAATTTTTTCTGTTTGAGAGTGTCTTTAAAATATGAACAATTGAGAATCTATTTCAAAAACCTAACTATGATTTTTGTTGTTTCTTTTATTATAAATGTTATCATCTTTGTATTAATATGCTTTATATTGTTTGACAAATCCTGTGGTTTACCTGGCTAGTATAAGCAAGATATATGCACCATAAAAAATTGCTATCACTCACATTTTTAAAAAAATCGCTTAAAAATTGTTTTTCAGTATGATTATATGGGATCAGAAATGATGGCTGTAACACAGAAAATTATCCAAATTATTGGCCTTGTCAACACTGTAAGTTTTGTTTTTTACATTTACAGTTTTATGAAAAATCATTGAAACCGATTTCTAATCTATCATTACAAATTAATGACTTAAAAATCTTCGATTATTAATATCCAAAATAATAAATTGAACTTATTCTTTATTTTTATGTAATCTTGAAGTAATGACTAATGTTATTTGAACAAGTATGCCATAAATTTTATTTTAGATGTTTACTCAGTTCAAATTGACTGTGATGCTATCCTCCTTGGAATTGTGGTCAGATAAAAACAAAATGTCTACCAACGGGGATGCTGATGATTTATTACAAAGATTTTTCACATGGAAACGAGACTATCTTATCCTACGGCCCCATGACATAGCATTCTTACTTATGTAAGCACAATGTTCTACATTAAAAAAGAAATATTAAATAAGTTCATTAATTTGATAACAATGCATAAATGTGTAAATGTAAACTGTGTTCTTCAACTTTCTGTAGGCCCCTCTGAAAATTTTAAACAAACTAGCTGTTGCAATGGATGCAGTAGTGTAGTTGAAAATATGATAAAAACAAAAACAACATAAATAAGTTATATAAAAATATATTTTGGAATATAATTTATGTAAAAGACTTGCCTTTCATAAACTTTTATGATGTTAACTATACTACAGAACACATATAAGCTTTAGCTTCTTAATAATGTAAAAATTGGCACTATTCAGTTAATATTACCTATAATATGTTAATACATTTCGTGTCTACTCTTTGATTAAAAAGGATATTTTTGGTAATAATTAAGAAAATGCTTACATTTCAGACAGGCAAGACTTCTTATTCCACAGTTAAAAACCCCTTTTGTTTTAACTTTTAGTAACCAAAAGAGTGCATGCAGTACAAGGGAAACTGAGGAGAATTCAAGATAGTAAAATTTTATCAAGTCTAGGAGTTAGGTGAGGAGAGGAAATTGGATTTAAAGTGAATTGTATGGGCGCCTGGGTGGCTCAGTTGGTTAAGTGTCCAACTCCGGTTTGGCTTGGGTCATGATCTCAGGGTCGTGAGATGGAGCCCTGGCTATGCACTCAGAGAGGAATCTGCTTGAGATTCTCTTCCTCTTCCTCTCCCTCTCCCTCTGCTGCTCCCCCCCAAGTAAATAAATAAATCTTTAATTAAAAAAAAGTGAATTATAGTTTTCAACGATTTGAGCATTTTGTATAATATATTAGAGAATACCCAGATCAAAAATTGGTTTGTTTGAAAAATCATTTTAAATTTTATGAGAGATTTAATTTTGTAAAAAAGCTAATAAATTGTTCTGAATAAGTATGGCAATAAAATAAGCTACACTATAATGATGTAGTTACAGGAAACGTCCTAGATATTTGGGAGCAACATTTCCTGGCACAATATGCAATAAAAGCTATGATGCAGATATTGCTATGGTATGTAATTTTTATCCTTCTTTATTATTTTTTCTAAACTTTATATTGTATTTTATATTATCTTATATAGCTAAATAGTGTATAATAAAAGTAGTGCATATTAACTTGACATTTTCTTCTATATGTGTATTTATTATTTTGTTGGTACAAAATTATTTTAATTTCAGAAAGTTTATTTAATTATAAATTATAACATAAATCAAAAGTGTAGCATACAAAAAAAAATGTAGCATACATTAATACACTTATTCACTAAGTAGGCAAAATGACTAACATTTATATCAGATTTTCTAAGGATGTAAAACCATAGAACAAAATTAAAGCCTCCTGTATGTCTACTTTAAATTCAAGAAATAGCAAAAATCACGAATTTGTGTTTCCATTTTATGTCTACTTTATGCAATTGTTACAAATGTATGTATACATTAACTAAATATCATTGTTCTGCATTGTTCTTATTTTATGCATCATTTTCATACTATTTTGAACAGCTTTTAAAAAGATGCATATATGTTGAATCATACAGCTCTACTTTTAGAACTTTTAGTTTTAAAGTAGTAATACACATTCACTTATTATAAATACAAGTGGTTTTACAGGACTAACCCTGAAAAACTGAATGAGCCCTTTGCATAAACTACAGTCCCTGAATTATTTTTTTCATTTTTTTAAAATTTTTCCTCCTGGCTTATACTTTCACTTTCATTTACTCATAAATAAAATTTTATTGGAGTATATCATATATAGAGAACTTTGCAAAAACCATAAATATATAGGACATTTAATTTTCACTAAGTCAATATGTAGACATAAACATCACAGAGATCAAAAAATAAAATATTTCAGCATTTCAGAAGACCACTATGAATCACATACCTTGTTCCACTTACTATCCATACCAAAGAAAACCACTTTCCTGACACTTACCACCAATGGTTAGTTTGGCCTTTTTTTGAATTTTATGTAAATGAAATAATGCAGTGTGTATTCTTGTGTCTGCCATTTATTTGCTCAAAATTATGTCTGTGAAAATTATCCTGTTTATATGTGTAAGGATAGTTTATTCATTTTTTACTCCATATTTCTAAATAATATTCCCATGAAATTTCTTGAGTCTTCAAATTTAGACATCTATTGACTTCCTATCATTGAAGTCAGAATTTAAGACCCTAATAGCTCATCATATTTACATGCCACTTCTATTCTTCCTCTGTAATTATATAACTTATTAGAATTGTGTTTTATTCTCTGATGGACCAAATAATGAACTAAAATTAAATTGTCTTCATTGCATAACTTTTGCTTCTTCCAAAATTTGTAATTGTATCATATTGCTTTTGCCCAAATTCTCTAATAAAATTAAAAATTGCCTCTACTTCTCTACATGTTTCAAAAAGTGCTCTTTTTAACACTAGGGACCTATCATTATTCCCCCTCAATCTCTGTTAGACTTTTTGCATAGGTGTTTTTTACAAATTTTCTATTGTGTCTTCTTTGGAACATGTGTATTCTTTTTTTCATAACTTGCTTACTCATTTTGATAGGCTATATGCCCCTATAATTTACTAAAAAAAAATTGATGTGTATTAAATTGTTTGAGAGTGACATGATTGAAAATATATTTAATTATTTCAAAGATTGGTTAATTTTACTTTTAAAATAATTGTACCTTGGAATTTTAAAGGTCTTTTGTTTTTTACCATTTCTTTAGAAATTTAATGCTATTCTTATTCTCATTCATTTGTGTGTGTTTTGCTTGTTTTGTCTATGGAAATATTTAAGATCTTTTCATCCTTATATGGTGTTTTTCATATCCAATATGCTGGTTATACTGAAGCCCTTTCAACTGGGATACTATTTACTTCTGATCTGAGAAATTTTACTATATTACATTTGATCATTTGTTCCCCTTTTCTCTCTGGAACTTTGTTAATTAAAGCATTTTGATTCATCATCTAAATATTTTCTTATTTAATTTTTCTTTTATTTCTACGTCTTCTAATATTTCTTTATATTTATACTTTGGAGCAGTCACTCACGTAAGTGTTCTCAGATCCATTTTATACTAATCCTCTGCTCTGGGGAATTATTGCACAGGGAACTATATATATATATTCCCTGGGCTTCCTTGCTTTCATGCTTTTGTATATTCAGCAAATATGGATGATTGAATGGGGCAGTGAAATATCTTAGTATCTCTACATACTGACCCTGCTTAAAACAATGTCTCAGAACTATTGCTTCCTGCTCCTGTGAAACTGCTCCCCCTTCTGTCGGTAGCTCCTGCTGAATAGCACTTGTTTATGGAATCTAATAATAGCTTTTTATTCATTCATCCTGTTCTGGTGTTGGTAGCAACATTCTGCTTTTCTAATCTCAGAGTTGCCTCTCACTTCTCTTGTGTAAAGATCCTGTAATAACTTCATTTGAATTGGATGCCTTATGATGACACCTATTCACTTTAAGCTCTATCTTAAGGATTAGAAAACTTTATAAAGAAACAGGTAGTAAATGTTTTAAGCTTTATAGACCATGTGAACTATGTCACAGGTACTCAACTCTGCCATTGTAAAGCAAAAGCCAATATAGAAAGAATATAAATTTATGAGCACGGTGATGTTCTGATAAAATTTTGTTCATGAATAACTGAAATTTAAACCTCATAAAATTTCATTTGTCACAAAATGTTAATTTTTTTGTTTTTTCAACTATTTAAAAATACAAAACCATCCTTATTTGCAGACTGTACTGGTCATTCACCAGATTGGGTCTTTGGACCATAGTTTACCCCGCCCTACTTTAATCCCATCAGCCCTTATCCTCACAGATTAATATTAAAAGTTGTAAGGGCTTTTCTGGAAAATGATAATTATAAACCAAAGCAACTTATAAGGTCTTGCTAATTTATGTTGACATATTCCTGGGAAACAAGTGAGGGAATAAAAATTAAGGGTTCTGGACAAACAAGAACAGAATAATCTTTATTTAATAGTAAATTTATTAATCTAGGTAAATATACTTGAGTTTTTTTTAATTTAGTGTGCCAGCTCAAACATTTGAGAGTGGTTTTAATAGTTTTATCAATTGACTGAAACATGTGAGCAATGATGGTCTATTTGCAATGAAGTTCTGTCTTGAAAAGAAAGAAATTCATAGACTTATAGACATGGTTGTATTTGAATATATTTATTTTGTTTATCAAACTCACCCATCTCTTGACTATGCTTTTTGTGTTCACTATACTCTGTAAGTTAGGACACACAGTTAGTTATATGAATTGTTTGATAGACTTTGGGATTCTTTAGATAGATAGGTAGTTTAGAAAGATTAGATGATTGATAGATGATAGTTCACCTGAGAGTAGAGACAATTTTATTTATTCCATTCTAATATGAATGCTTTTCATTTTTTTCTTGACTTATTCCATCAACTAGAATTCTCAGTAAAATATTCAATAGAAATTCTGAGGTTCTCAACCCTTGCCTTGTTTGTAATCTTAGAGGGAATGCATTCCATCTTTCATGATTTTGTATAACATTAGCTGTAGGTTTTTTATAGAGGCCCTTTGAGCATAAGGATGCTCCCTTTGATTACCATTTAGCTGATAGTTTTTTCTTTCTTTGTTTTTACCATAAATGGATATTGGATTTTGTCAAATGCATCTATTCTCTTCTCTTATTGAAAACTCATTTGGCTTTTTTCTTGAGTTTGTTGAGTGACTGTATTATTGTTGGATTTTCAATTGGTGAACCACTTTTGCATTCCTAGAATAAATCCCACCTTGTCTTGATGTATTGTCTTTTTTTATATATTGTTGGATTCAAATTGGTAAACTTTTGTTTTTTTGTTTCTGTTTTTTGTTTTTAAGATGTTATTTATTTATTTGACAGAAAGAGAGAGACAGTGAGAAACGGAACACAAGCAGGGGGAGTGGGAGAGGGAGAAGCAGGCTTCCTGCTGAGCAGGGAGCCTGATGCGGGACTCGATCCTGGGACTCCAGGATCATGACCTGAGCTGAAGGCAGATGCTTAATGAGTGAGCCACCCAGGAGCCCCAAGTTGGTAAACTTTTGTTAAGAAATTTTGCATTTGTGATGATTGGGTATATCAAACTATAGTTATCTTTTCTGATAATGACTATTTCTGGATATTCTATCAAGGTAATAATGAGTTCCTAAAATGAGCTATGTTTTCTCTATTTCTGGATGTTTTGAAGAGTTTGTGTAAAGAAGAAATAGAGAATAGAAAAACAATAGAAAAAACTGGCAAAAGTAAAAGCTGGTTTTTTGAAAAGATAAATAAAACTGACAAACTCTTACTTAAAACAATTAAGAAAAATATAGTGGGAAGACTCAGATAAATAAAATCAGAAATGAAAGAGGAGACATTACAATGGATAAATAAAAAGGTAAAAAAGGACTATTAATAATTATATGCCAACAAATTAGATAACCCCAGAGAAATGGATACATTCCTGGAAAAATACAACCTACTAAAACTGAATCAAGAAAAAGAGAAAGCTTGAACAAATCAATAACAAATAGAGGTTAAATTAATGGTCAAAAACCTCCCAACAAAGAAAAACCCAGGCTTTACTGGCAATTTCTACCAAAAATTCAAAGAAAAATTAACATCAATCCTTCTGAAACTCTTCCAAAAATCTGAAGAGAGAACACTTCCAACTGTTTTTTAAGGGACCAGCATCACCCCAATATCAAAGCCAGAAAAAAAAAGATACCACAAGAAAATAAAACTACAGGCCAATATCCCTGGACATAAATGCAGGTGAATTAAAATAGTGGAGTAGTAGGGGGACCCTGAGGTTGCCTCGTCCTTCAAACACAGCTAGATCAACATCCAACTATTTTGAACAACTAGGAATATGATCTGAGGATTAAGAAAACAATCTGCACAGTTGGAGGGAGAGAATGTGTCAGATGTAGGTTTGGATTGTGAATTAGGGGACAGGGAAGCTGTAGTGCCCCAAAAGGGAGGGAACCC